TTTTTTTAAAGTTGACTATGTACCCTTCTGGTTAAGAACCAATGACTTACAGGCTTTATTAACAGCAGTTATTGTAATATTTTAAGACATGATATACCTGGGAATAACTAAAGCACTCACACCTATTTTCTTCTATACTAAATAACCTTGATTGCTATATTGAATTTTTGTGTCTGCTTTATAGTTATTCTAGTTCCTCCTTTGCAACTATTATTTCCTTTTGTTGCCCTCTCTTACTTCCATAGTAAACACAGCATATAATTTTCATTTTTAGAATATTTTATGCACAAATAAAATACTGTAGTCATAAGCCAGCAAGGAAATAGGAAAAGTAAGGTAGGGTAATCTAAACTAGGGATGGCTTAATGAGAGATAAAACTGGAGATCAATGACCTTATTTCACGAGATCAGTTAACAGCTGAGATGCAGCACAGACAGGCAACAGGAAATTTTTTTTTTTTTTGCGGTACGCGGCCCTCTCACTGTCTTGGCCTCTCCCGCCGCAGAGCACAGGCTCCAGACGCGCAGGCTCAGCGGCCATGGCTCACGGGCCCAGCCGTTCCGCGGCATGTGGGATCCTCCCAGACCGGGGCACGAACCCGCGTCCCCCGCATCAGCAGGCGGACTCCCAACCACTGCGCCACCAGGGAAGCCCAGGCAACAGGAAATTTTGTGGTTAATCCAAAAGGGATGATTGCTTTAAAGTTCTAAGAGGGGCTTCCCAGGTGGCGCAGTGGTTAAGAATCGATCACCTGCCAATGCTGGGGGCACAGGTTCGAGCCCTGGTCCGGGAAGATCCCACATGCCGCAGGGCAACTAAGCCCCTGAGCCACAACTACTGAGCCCGTGTGCCAAAACTACTGAAGCCTGCGCACCTAGAGCCCGTGCTCCGCATCAAGAGAAGCCACCCAATGAGAAGCCTGCGCACCACAAGGAAGAGTAGGCCTCGCTCGCCACAACTAGAAAACGCCCACGTGCAGCAATGAAGACCCAACGCAGCCAAAAAAAAAAAAGGAAAAAAAAAATTCTAAGAAATCAGTAGGCTTCTTGTGTTGATAGGAAGTTAGGTAAGGAATACAGGTTCCAGAGAAAGAGTAAATCTGGTCAATTTTTTCATATTGTGTTCATACTGAGGAATTCTAAAGACATAAAGACCATCCGGGACAGTTTAAAATCCAGAAAAGAAAACAAAATCTCAGGGTCAAACTGGAAATGTCTTTCTCTCAGGAGATCAGGGACCAAGATAAGATCTATAGGAATAAGAAGGCTGAAAGCAGAAGAACAATACAACTGAGTCCCAAAGAGGCTGTTGACTTAGTACCTATCTACTTAAGTAAAGGCTATCAGGAGAACTTAAGGACCATGCCAAGTGCCAGAAATAACAACTTTAACAGGGCTTAAGGTTCAAATTTTGTAGGTTAGCATCAAGACC